ATATTTAAATTTGTTTGGTGAGCTGAAACATTTAAGTGGCACAAATATGAAAAAAAAAAAAAAAAGAAACCAGGAGGGGGAAATACTTTTTCACAGCACTGTACTCAACAAGACAAAGGAGCTGCAGGGTGAAGAGAAGGCATGTACCAGCTTTTGTTTTTTGTCTTTAGTTTACTGTTACATAAACATACCCCGCTCCTTACTGTACATCGTAATTACATCCTTTAGCCATTTAGTAACTATAATTACAGAGCCCCGCTCACTTTAAAGCCGAGTTGATCTAAAGATCCTGCACCTTTGGCCTAACCTTTCTGGTTAGGTTAAGGTGTCGTCCCCCCTGCTCCTTTACTGGTCTAGAGCTGGGGGCTAAGTTCTATCTCCCATCTCACCATCTCACTTCCTTTGGGCCCCATTAAGGTGTCGTCCCCCCTGCTCCTTTAGGGTTAGGGTTAGGGTTAAGTCTACTCCCTGTCATTTTTTAAGCCGTTCAGACTTGACATTCGGGCTGTTTGTCGATACAACAGCTCCCCTCTCTCTCTCAACACCACCTCCATTATTATCAAGTCAAACAGAGGTCACCGCACCTTTTTGTGGAAACCCTTCACTGTTTGTTTTTGTATTTGTCAAAGTACAGTTTTGTAAGTTTGCTTTTAGTAATTCATATGTGTAATATGTATATGTTTTGTTTCTGTGAATGTGGACATACATTTATTAAGGTGAACAGCAACATTCAGGATAAATCCTGTTTTGAAGAAAGCGAGCAGTTTTTGAACTTGTGTTTCAGCAAAGCATATTTTCTGGTTAAATACTTTTTAATGAGTAATACTTCTAAAGGATATCTGGTCATTGACGGCAAGTCCATTGAGATTTGAGCCCACAACTTCCAAATCCAGTTTTCCCAAGTAAACCTTGCACGCAAAGCTTGTGCAGACACACAAAAGGCTGCAGTCTGCTGCGTTCCACATTCATTCTCAATGTCATCAGGCTCCAGTGGGGGAGTTGTCTAAAGTAAAGCCAAAGATGTTATTCTGTTAGCCATTTACAAGCTATTGCAACAATACTGGTTGTTGCAGGGCGACTACAGTAAACATAGTGTACTTAATGACCCACATTTTCATTAATGTCATTTTTAAGGCCAGTCAAGGCAGCACAGACTGAGGCAATTCAAAGTGAAACATTAACAGTGTTATAAACAGTAAGTATTAAAACCAGAATAAAGTCATGTAAGACCAAATGAAGATAAAGCATTGTTAAAGTGAGATAAAATACAAGGAGTGGAAATAAAAATAGACAAAACCAAAGGTCCAATACAGGACTGCCTAGTTACAGTGTATTAATAAGTTGGAGGTCATCTCATAAGCAACATAGAAAACAAAAGTGCAGCAGAAAAACCAATCAAAAGCACCGAATACAAAATGACTCTACATGCAAATGTAATAATAATAGATTTGTTTGGTCGTCAGTCATTTGCTAGTAGAAAGGCATCTGGAACATGTACTAAAGCAGTGTCCTTTCTCTAGGAATATCAGGTTTTTCTGTTTGTTTTTAGCTCGTGTCATTTATCATTTGCCATTTGATGAATTTGTTTATTTTTGAATGTTCCCTTCGCCTTCTGTGGTACAATATGTGATTGCCGTGACATTTACAGGTTGTAGCAATTGGAAGCACATGTAACGATGAAACTATATGGATTTTTTCATAAACTGCATCAGACACCTGTCTGTCATCATCATCATCATCATCATCATCATCATCATCATCATCATCATCATGGTGGAAAGTGAAACAGAGATGAAAAGAGAGACAGCTGAAAGCCTCTGCTTTCCTGGTATCACATTTTTCTCTTGAATGATGGGGGGAACATGCACATATCAAGGACATTTCTCTTTCAGTCTGCTCCCATGTTAATCCTATCCAGGCTGCATATTACTTGAGTTTAAAACATCTCTTCCAAGTTCAGATGTAGAAGAAGTATAGAATATGGAAGAGACATTTGTGATGTCCTGTTTGATCATGTTTTTATTTGATGCACACACTAGCTTAACAGCTGTATGTACTACTTTTTCCAGAGCTGAGCAAGTGTCTAATGTTTGATTCAGTAATATGAATGTAAAACTATTGTCTATAGTCTGAGAGTAGGACTTGTTAACTACAGCATTCGTGTACATTTCATGAGGGGTGGAAAGTAGCTTTCTGATCAAATTCTGAACGAGTTGTGTTAAATCGTTTTACCCTTTGAGCTCTCACCAGGTCTGTGGAAGTCTTTGTACTGTAGCTGTAGATGAAGAGAGAACACACTGTGTGAAAACACTGTAGTGTAACTGTATGTCATGTGCTCTGCTTTAAACTCAATACATTGTCACCTGAAGGTTTCATTGTTAAACTGTTCCAAATACTGCCTCGCTTGTAGGAAGGTGCGTCCACCTATAACTGGTGGTGTCCGAATGAAGCAGGGTGGGGTACTGTGTACTTCACTAAATAAATGTATTTCTATCTACAGTAAACATAAGTATTAGCAAAACATCTACAATTTTCAAATGGCAGCTAAACAATTATGTGACAAGGTTCTTTCTCTCATAACAAGGGGAAGTTCAGATTATCCTGTGTGCACGTGTGACTGTTATTGATTAATAAATGTTTCTTTCTCCTTTCAGCTATTTGTACAAGAATGAAATCCAATCAATTGACAGACAAGCATTTAAGGGGCTTGTCTCTCTTGAGCAACTGTAAGTGACCAACTCCCTTGTCCACCTTTTCCTTGTGCTCGCCCTACTGCTCCTCCTCCCCCCACCTACTGTCTCTTCGTCTGTAAGATACCTATACCCCTTTCCTGAAATGCCATAAACAGTTCTTCAAGCTTGCTAAGGTCTACATGGTTATAAGGGATTTACAAGCTAAGTCATATGATTAAACAATGGCAGCCATTTAACATATGTTGGAATAATGTCAGCTGTTATGAATGCTGTGTGACATGACTGTGTGGGGCTTACACAGTTATCATGATAGCTCTGTTCAGTAACCTTTCATTACAGCAACTCTCTTTTCCTCCAAGACCCCCACATGCACCCCTCTATCCTCTTTCATACTGCCAGTATGCATGCCATGAGTGCCTCCATCCTTGTATGTTGCATTGAGCCCCTTTGACTTTTTGCATGAGTCGCATGTCTTGTGGCCAGGACAACAGATATGCGCGACCCCCATGCAGAGCTTGAAGTTTCTTGAAGCCCTGTGCTGTAATTAGCACTATCTGTGCTGGAGTCAGAGCTTCTGCTTTAGAGCCGAGCTTGACCTGCATCTTTCTTACTTCTGCAGAACCACTGATGTGCTGCAGTTTGCTGTAACCTTTTCTAAGTGTTTATTTGTGAGAAACCTTTAGTGTAGTATGTATGTCTTCCTGCAATTCATGACACTCACAAATGTGTTCTGTGCTGCTTTTACAAGGTCTGCCTTTGTTGTATCTTGATACACATGTACAGTGCCTTGCGAAAGTATTCGGCCCCCTTGAACTTTGCGACCTTTTGCCACATTTCAGGCTTCAAACATAAAGATATAAAACTGTAATTTTTTGTGAAGAATCAACAACAAGTGGGACACAATCATGAAGTGGAACGAAATTTATTGGATATGTCAAACTTTTTTAACAAATAAAAAAACTGAAAAATTGGGCGTGCAAAATTATTCAACCCCCTTAAGTTAATACGTTGTAGCGCCACCTTTTGCTGCGATTACAGCTGTAAGTCACTTGGGGTATGTCTCTATCAGTTTTGCACATCGAGAGACTGAAATTTTTGCCCATGCCTCCTTGCAAAACAGCTCGAGCTCAGTGAGGTTGGATGGAGAGCGTTTGTGAACAGCAGTTTTCCACAGATTCTCGATTGGATTCAGGTCTGGACTTTGACTTGGCCATTCTAACACCTGGATATGTTTATTTGTGAACCATTCCATTGTAGATTTTGCTTTATGTTTTGGATCATTGTCTTGTTGGAAGACAAATCTCCGTCCCAGTCTCAGGTCTTTTGCAGACTCCATCAGGTTTCCTTCCAGAATGGTCCTGTATTTGGCTCCATCCATCTTCCCATCAAGTTTAACCATCTTCCCTGTCCCTGCTGAAGAAAAGCAGGCCCAAACAATGATGCTGCCACCACCATGTTTGACAGAGGGGATGGTGTGTTCAGGGTGATGAGCTGTGTTGCTTTTACGCCAAACATAACGTTTTGCATTGTTGCCAAAAAGTTCGATTTTGGTTTCATCTGACCAGAGCACCTTCTTCCACATGTTTGGTGCGTCTCCCAGGTGGCTTGTGGCAAACTTTAAACGACACTTTTTATGGATATCTTTAAGAAATGGCTTTCTTCTTGCCACTCTTCCATAAAGGCCAGATTTGTGCAGTATACGACTGATTGTTGTCCTATGGACAGAGTCTCCCACCTCAGCTGTAGATCTCTGCAGTTCATCCAGAGTGATCATGGGCCTCTTGGCTGCATCTCTGATCAGTCTTCTCCTTGTATGAGCTGAAAGTTTAGAGGGACGGCCAGGTCTTGGTAGATTTGCAGTGGTCTGATACTCCTTCCATTTCAATATTATCACTTGCACAGTGCTCCTTGGGATGTTTAAAGCTTGGGAAATCTTTTTGTATCCAAATCCGGCTTTAAACTTCTCCACAACAGTATCTCGGACCTGCCTGGTGTGTTCCTTGTTCTTCATGATGCTCTCTGCGCTTTAAACAGACCTCTGAGACTATCACAGATTTTGCACGCCCAATTTTTTAGTTTTTTATTTGTTAAAAAAGTTTGACATATCCAATAAATTTCGTTCCACTTCATGATTGTGTCCCACTTGTTGTTGATTCTTCACAAAAAATTACAGTTTTATATCTTTATGTTTGAAGCCTGAAATGTGGCAAAAGGTCGCAAAGTTCAAGGGGGCCGAATACTTTCGCAAGGCACTGTATGTGTGAAAAGAAAACCACTTCAGCATTTGTTGATTGACGTTATAAATAGCGATGGGCTGATCCTTTTTTTTTTGGTTCCGATCCAGTTCCAGGACACAACTGCTGATTCCGATACAACAGCTCTTTCATAGCATTAAAACAAGTGAAACTACCGTAAACAAAATATTACTTATGAGTAATGATGGACAAGTGCAACTAAGGACACGCATGTCCCCAAATGATTGTACATTTACAAATCTTCACTTTGGGGCTAGAAATAAACATAGCTCACATTTACCATTTAAAATGTGGCCAACATTAGGGCATTAATCATTTATTATTAATAAAAACTGTCTCCTGTCTTTGTATCGAGGGTCCAGTAAAGTGCCAACTGAACAGAGGGGATCACCTTCGATGCAGCTCACATCTGAGGTCCAAATATCAGTTGTGAAGCTCATGGCTTCATCATCTTCTGTCTCTGAAATGTATTTTCTGGGCGGCTGATTATACCTGGGCTCTAGGCGCTCCAACACACTGCGAAAGCTGACATGTTCCACAACAGATAGTGGCTGCTCATCGAGTATAATGAGGTTGAGCAACTTCTCTGTAATGCATTTAGCCTTTGAGCAGTGTGCTGGAAGTTTATGCGTTTGATTAAATTGGTTGTACTGTACAACCGCCCCTCGGCACGCTGGCTTTACACACATTACAGGTACCTGTCTTGCTTTTCAGCATTTGCAGACTAAAATATCTCCAAACAAACAACATTTTTGTCAAACCAGCAGCTCATGTTTATTAGCTCACTCGGTTACAGACTGAAGTTTATGATAACATGTGGATTGGAATCTGGATCAGTGACCCATCTCTAATTATAAATGTGAATTGTGTTTTCAGAATAGCAACAGAATTTCCATGATCATTCTGCACTCCTGGGAGGACACAGTGACCTAATGCACCTCCCTCTGCCCATTTTAATAGAGAACAAATGGCTAATTCACCAAGAAAAGCAATTTCAGCATCTTGTTCCATGCCTCATAGCTGTTTTGAATCTTGCCACAATAATGAAGTGTTTTACATGTGGGTGACAAGTTCTGACTCCGATTGCATACACTTTATTGGTTCCTCCACATCCCCGCTGCACTACGGATGCTGAAGGCTGATATCACATGTTTCTTTGGAGGAAATAAATTGCTCCAAAGACCTATTCATTTACAATACCTTCCTGTATGACCCACAGCCATTCATCTGTTGATGTTTTATCAACTTGCCAATGGGTTTATGTGTGGATGGAAAGTTGGACATCCTCTAGTCATCATTACACACTTTACTATGTTCTGGCCCATCTTTAACATATACTTTAGGCAGCACCCAAAGACACACTGATATTGGACACCCAAAACACAGCATGATCAACAGTTTGGATAAAAGAAAAGAACTCGGATGGATTGTGTTGAAAACATGCTGAGGAGTATTACATTTTAGTTTACATTCTACGCTGCTGTGCTCTTCGTGTGTCTGTCTGTTTCGCTGCTGCAGCTTTGAATGCTGCTTTCCCCAGCTGAACCCTTACAGTTACACACAGCCATCAGTTGGATCTCATTTCCTTAACCTTTTGTTTGTCAGCAAATGATATGATTTATGTTTTCTCAGCTCAAAGGCTTTAGGGAATTATGTTTGCATTCCATGAGATTGTGTACTTGCCTGTGGCTAGTCTTTTTTTCAAAGCCAGCCTTTAGCCATAGATTAAGACCCTGTAGATCAACTGTCTGAGTGCCTGATGTTCAGGAACAGGACAGAACACCTGAGTGGTCTCACCTCTTATGGCATACTAAGCCAATCAAAGTATATTTAGTCAGAGAGGGAGCCTCATCTGGTTTTACTGTGCTTTGTCATCACTTTGTTCTTCTTCAGGTACCTGCACTTCAACAACATTGGGTCTCTGGAACCAGAATCATTCACCCACCTACCAAAGCTGGAGCGACTGTAAGTTCTTCCTGCTTGATTGGTCAAACAGTATTCCTGAAATGTGTCCAAGTCATACAGAATCCTAAAGAAATCTTTATTTTAAAAAAGCATTTTCCCATAGGCATGACCGGATTCAGAGGGACACCTGATAGAAACCAGAGAGGCGGCAGGTCCAGAATGTACTTAGCATGACACTGACTGGCAGAATGCAGCAGAATGTTGACTATAAATCTAACACACCTCTGAGACTCACTGTACAGTACATTGGTTTGTCCTTACTTCAAACATTAATACAGTAATGATTAGACATTACCTTCCTGATATAGTTGACATGCACACAGTCAGAGATCATTTGTCAGATAAAAGCAGCATCTCTTTGTAACACCACAGTACCACGACTAGACTGACTGTGTTTCTGTCCACCCTGGACAGGTCGCCACTCTGTCACAGGGCTGACATGTAGACAAACACTCAAACTCACACACACTCCTACGGGCAATTTAGAGTCACCAATCAACCTAAACCGCATGTCTTTGCGCTGTGGGAGGAAGCCAGAGTACCTGTAGAGAACCCATGCAGGCACAAGGAGAACATGGAAACCCTGCACAGAAAGGCACCGGGTCAGCTGTGGCTCGAACCTGGAACCTTCTTGCTGTGACCTTGTTCTTGCGACAGTGCTAACTGCTGCTCCACTGTGCTGCCCACATGTCAGATACATGTTTAATCAAAATTTTAGGGAAATATAAATATTTGATGGGTGGCATGGTGGCGCAGGGATAAGCGTTGTCACAGCACAAAGGTTCCAGGTTCAATCCCAACCTGGTGCCTTGGTTGGGTTCTCTCCGGCTGCTCCGGCTTCCTCCCACAGTCTAAAGAAATGCATTTTAGGTTGAATGGTGACTGTATTGCCCGTAGGAGTGAGTGTGTGTGGCTGGCCTCTCGCCCAATGTCAACTGGGTTTGGCTCCAGCCTCCCCGTGACCCTGTTCAGGAATAAGCTGTATGGATGGATAGATATTGGACTGGATTCTGTATCGGCAGGTACAGGCGATCTTGATATGATGGCATCTCTGGTATTTAACTCCAGTTAATTTTATAGTGACGTCACAGGACAAATGTTTAAAGGTTAATAATGTTATCTGTCTCTGGCCACAGTAATACAGTATAGAACTATAAAAGGATTTCCATAATGTCACAGTTAACATGGCTGCTTTTTGTTCATAAACAATTATGTATACTTGTGACTTAAATGATTTAAAGACATGGCTCTCTCGCATAGAAGTTATGCGAGAGAGCCATGTCTTGTTACATTTTTGTCTCATTGTCCCTGTTTATGGGCTTCTGGCTGCCAAGTATATCCATACTTTACAGTCTCTGGTGAGGATGAGGAGATGGTGGGACACCTGCAAATAAAGTGTAATGGGGAGAGAAGTCATTCTCTGGTGCACACTAATATGTCTGTCGTCAGTCATTTTGGCAAAGTGTCTAGAGAGCATATCTGTAGATCAGTTACAGACTGAGGTAGAAGATGAAAAACTACATCAGTATAGCTATTAAAAATATAGTTTGGGGGGGATTTTGGGGGAGTAGAGCATTACATTAACAGGAAATCTTTCATGTATGCTTTTAGCCAAGAAATACAAGTCTTAGAAGTCATCATGTTAAGCCGCCATAACCTCTCTGGGAAGATGATCATAGTACTTGTGCCATTTGGAAAATGGAATATGTTATGAACAAAAGACACATCTACAGTATCTGTTTAAATATGTGTTCTTATGGGAAACTGTTTATCCATTCAAATTCCTCCTGTGAGTTTCCATTTATAGACTGAACGAGGCTTTGGGTAGTCTGTCAGGCCAGCTCTGTGGCTCCAGTTAGCTTTACAGTTATGAACAGTGATACATCATCTCTTCTCTCTCACTCAGGTTTTTGCACAACAACAGAATTACCCAACTTGTCCCAGGAACCTTTTCTCATCTTCAAGCCATGAAGCGACTGTAAGTGGAAAAGTCATGTTTGAGAATGTGTGTCTGTATCACTTTGTATAGTTAACCCCCTGATAACCAGTAATCATTTAAACGCCACACACTGCACTCTTCCCATAAATGAGCTTCTCTCATTTTCAGTCAGCTGCAGTGGAGATTTGGAAGAACTGTGTAGGGTGGAGTGTGATGAGACAAGCTAAGAAAATGAAAATGCTCCTATCTTGGATTAAAAAGATTTAATCTTCTGTGAAACATGATAATTTGGAGTCTTTGAGGCCGACTATCTCTAATACAGCTTCAAGCTTCTCTCTCTTCCAGCCAACAGACGGTGAAGCAGTTTGGCCTCTTCTTGTTTTCTTGTCTTGTCTTGTCTCAGTTATAAATGAGCTTTTACTCTTTGTTAGATCCCAGGCCAGTCTGTTTAAAAAGAGATTTAGAAGGGATCTGTATTAATTGCCACACAAATGTAAAATGTTGCAGTTCCATTTTCTGAAAAGGACGTCATGGATAGGCCTAATCAACACACTGTGGTAGAACTGAAAGTTGGATCTGTTACCAGAAGGCAACGCCAAGTAGAGAAATAGTTTCACACAGCAGGAAGAGAGTGTCTTCCAGTATGTTCCTGCTTAGCCCCACTGTTTAGACTGAGCTGGCCTGGGATCTGTCCAACACTGTTGCATGCACAACTCTGCAGTAACATGCCATATACTATATGCCTCCTGTGGATTACATGTCCATTTTTCACTTACTCTGCATAAATGGGTCTGTGCGTGTTGTCTGTGTCCAGGCGGCTGGATTCCAATTTATTAAACTGTGACTGTGACCTGCTGTGGCTGGCTGACCTGCTGAAGCAGTATGCTGAATCAGGCAATGCCCAGGCTGCTGCCACCTGTGAATACCCCAGCCGCCTGCAGGGCAGATCGGTGGCAACACTCACCTCTGAGGAGCTCAACTGTGGTACGGAGAGAAAAATCAGCCTTTGCACTGAGCACAGCGTCTCTAGAATATCAGTTAATTTTTGTTGGCATATTCGAAACAGGGACAATCATGTAATTAGATTAGTGTGAGTGGTTTGAGGAAATCAGATTTTTAATAAATGGATCGGTTGAAGGTATACTGTAAAGTTTGTTTTAAACCTTGGTTGTTTTCGGCTGTTGCACTGTAGTGCTGCTTCTCATAGATCAAGTCCAGCTGTGCTGTAAATTAGACTCATCATCTCTGTGGAACTTGCATGTGCTGCAACATAAACAGCATCAAGCTGACGACACAAGGAAGACTTTGTTACTGAAAACCACCTTATTGAACCTAATTGGTTTTATTCTGGGGCAACTTTTTAAAGCCGAGAGGAACACGTATACATGAAACAATAAACACATTCGTGTGCCTCTTGTCACACATACCGTCTCCTGACTTAAACCAAAACCTGATCTGTATACAGAACCTCCAGCTTTCCTACCTGCAGATACCAAGGAAGCCAGTCAGCCGGACTCACTCAAACAAATACACACACACACACACACACACACATTGTCTCTTTGTGTCTGAGGTCTGCAGCCACCCGCCTGTTTGACTCTGTCTGCTCTCTGGTCTGGGTAAAATGTCAGTCAGGACCCTGGAATGGGGCCTCAAGTATCACACCAGCAGCTGCTCAGTCTGTGTATGAAGGTGCTGTGTGAGTGTGTGCATGTGCATCCATGCACAAGTGAACAGTGAGATGGAGGGGCCTACAGCCTTGGTCATTGCTGTGTAGATGGGGTGTTGGGATAACTGTAGATCACTGAAACTTTCTTTAGATGGGTTGGTTCATGAAAACTTGATCCAACTTTTCCTCTCAACCCTTCATGAAAGGTAAAAGTTTTTTGTTTGCAACTGGATGATTTATAATAATGTGGTGTTCTGAAGACAGTGAAAGATAATTTAGTTGGTATAGTCCACCCAAAATCTAGCTTTTAAGAGTTAAATCCTCTGTAGACAGGCAGCTGTTAAAAGTTGGGAAAATTGCTATGTTGACTAAATGTGCTTATAACATTTTGGCAGATACTTCTACCAAGAAAACTTGTCACTACTGAAATTCAGTGTGACTAACATTAATTTAAATTGATATGAAGAAGGAAAGCACAACATTTTTATAGACCTTTTTCAAGCACTGAGAGCCAGTGGTTGTAATGTAGATTTTGGGTGGAAGCATGGGTTTTAGTGTATTGATACTTTTAATACCTCAAGAAGAAAAAGCCCACCAGTTATTGTACAGTAAGTCTACGTGGCTGATTTTCAGCCAGTGTCTGTAACAGCAGTTTATCTTCTTCAGCAGTAAATCAATCTGTCTATACTGTGCTTCATCCAGCTCCCAGTGAATGCTATAGTCTGAGCCAGGCAGGCTAGCTGGCAGCTGACTGTAATACAACCCCATTTAAATCTCAGCAGCTAATTTGATGGTCCTAACTTGCCCATTCTTGCTCAGTGCAACCACCTCCACTCCATTTGTCTGCATAGCAAGGCAGCAGGGGAAGAATGTCTGCTTCAGACCTCCCAGCTTATTCTTTCTTTCTGCCTGTACATGGGGCAGAACAATGCACAGTGGACTGAACAGCTGTCAGAGCGGCCGCCCTCCTAAAGATGAGGTGCCACCTCTATGCACAAGTGGGATTAGATGAGGCAAGCTGGCCTCCTCATTGGGCCTTGATGGAGAGTGTGTTTTCACAAGCAGGTTTTCTAACCCAGCACAGTTACCAGCCCCAGTGTTAATGTGCATTAACTTGGTGGTAAGTAGAGAGATGGGTAGTTTGGGTTTGCTTTACCTGCTGGTGTACACAAATGTGTGTATGTTAGCAGAGTACAGGGAACAGTTTGAAAGAGTGCTTCTGAAATGTGTCAACCATATGTAGACTGAGTTTGTGGGCACGTGCCACGTGTGTGCTATATGTTGGCAGATGAGTGTGGGAGCTTGTCTTTCCCTTGGGATGGATTAATTTAATGTGTACAGTGCTTTAGGGTCTGGCAGTGTTTCTTCATTGGCCTTCCCTCAGCATCTGTGTGTGTTAAAGCACACGTGCTTGTGAGTGTTTGAACAAAGATAAAGGGTGAGTGGTATTGTTGTTGACTACCTACTCATGCTCAACAACTTAACATTTCCTCATGGATGCTTTGTATTTGCGGTGGAACACTGATCTTAATACAAAAGAGCTTCAAATATCCCCTTTCAGTTCAATTGCAAGTCAATGTCAAGTCAAGGTTTTCAGGCCCAAGCACAATGACTTGACAGAGTTTAGAAGTAAGATGTTACAGGACATCCAGGCCCTTATGTCTTTAAAACATGCTTGAAGTTTGACCAACTGATCCGATTCATTTGGCTTCATAGATAAATATAACTGAGTATCATCTGCACAGCAATGGAAATTTATGCTGTGCTTCCTGATAATATTGCCTAAAGGGAGCATGTATAAAGTGAAGAGAATTGGACCTAACACAGAGCCCTGTGGAACGCCATGACTAACTTCAGTCTTGTCTGGAAGATTCATCATTAATATGAACAAACTGGAATCTTTCTGATAAGTAAGATTTTAACCAATTTAGTGCAGTTCCTTTAATCCCAATAACATGTCTCCGTAATAAGATGCTGTGATCAGTGTTGTCAAAAGCAGCACTGAGATCCAAGACAAGTATAGAGAGGACTCCTTTGTCTAAGGGGAGATTGCATACACTTTTCTACAGCACTGAGTTAGGGTCAAAGATGTGGAGGCTGAAGAAATGGAGCCAGTCATGATGGCATATTTCTCTAAACCATCTCTGATTATGTGCCCAGACACTGACGGGCTCAGCCTCATCATCTAGCCAGCATCCTTGGACAGACTAGACAGGTTCACTAGAGGCTTCACCTGACTGGCACATGCATTTACATGTCTGCATGATTACCTTCCAATGACCTTATTCGTCATCCTCCTCCAGAGGTACCCAGGTTCACCTCGGAACCCCAGGATGTTGATGTTACATCAGGGAACACTGTCTACTTCACCTGCAGAGCCGAAGGCAATCCTAAACCGCAGATCATCTGGCTCAGGAACAAGTAAGACACTTAATGTTATGGCCATGTTAAGTAACAAATGCTTTGCGCACCTCTTTTTTTGTTTAAACAAGTTCCACCTTTAAGGTAGATACGCACTGACATTTAAAATAAATAAAAGTTCCCGAGTCCTGCTTTTCCCATTATAAGGTGCTAGGATTGCACAGTTATCATTAAGTGTTATGATTATGTTGTATGAAATCTTATATTTTAGAAAAGTACATTATGTGAATAAATTGTATACATCGCTTGATTTATGTCTAATCAGTTGTGGTGTGCTTCTCTGTGCTCTCCTGGCAGCAATGCTCTGAACATGCATGATGACAGTCGTCTCAACCTGCTGGAGGATGGGACTTTAATGATCCAGGACACCAGAGAGACAGACCAGGGAGTCTACCAATGCATGGCAAAAAACGTGGCTGGGGAGGTCAAGACGTCACAGGTCACACTGCGGTATTTTGGAGCCCCCGGTAATTTGCTGCTTTCAACTTCAACCTCTGGACCTAACACAGAGCCCTGCAACATTAACAGCATCAAGCTGGTCCAGTAACACCAAGAACCCAGTAAAGCCTGGTATCAATAGGCAATCTATTAATGGCTAAACCTGCATTATTACATATTCATGTAGAAGGCCGAGCAAACAATCCACATCATAGATGGATACAGACATGGTGGTCTGGTAGGCTCCTAAGTGGTAGTGTTCCTGTTTAGCAGGAAAATGGGTTTAATCTGCTGCGTTCTTTAGCTTCATGCATTTCTACATTTGAGCTTGATATTTTTATTTTATCAGGATTAAATAAGTTCTCCTGGTGCCATTGTGGGTGGTACTGTAGAAGTTGGACAGTAGCCGTTGATGTTCAGTACAAGATGATGTAGGGGGGCTAA